TACCCAGGTGACTCACGAATCCACCCGACGGGTTTCTTTTTTAACCCACCCGGGTTCTACCCGGGTGACTCATGGGTGGCGTTTTTTTTTGACGGGTCCAATCACTAATCCAGAATTACGTAAAGTCGGCCAGCGTTATAATCCGCAAATTCTGGCCAAATTAATGTCAGCCAGCATTATGATGATCCTAAATCCAGGCCAAAATCTAATCATCTGCAAAATACTAATTTTTTAGGCGCTGACGAAGCTGGTTTTCTTTTTTGTATCTAATGGTCATTGTGCCTAACAACCACAATATACAAATCAAATCATCGTAAATGCAACTTTTATCAGGGTTTCGTCTCCCCTTCTCCGGAAGTTTCATCTTTCGTCAAGGGTTTCTCCGTTCGTCTGAGGGTTTTGTCTTTCATATTTCTCCGGCTTTAAATTACGTCTTTTGCCCTTTAAATAAAATGGTTTCACTTAGCAACTATAAGCAATACCGTTTTCGATCTGATTTTGCGCCGCGCCGCGTAAAACACAGGAAAGCACACAAAGGGCGAGTACCTGTTCGTACGGGTGGCTCGACTAAGGGCAACACAATTGTTTATGGCGATTACGGCTTACGCGTGAAGGATGGGGTTCGTTTGTCTTCGAGTCAACTCACAGCGGCTTGGCAAGCCATCAAGCGCAAAATAAAAGTCATTAAGGGCTCGCAAGTATGGATGCGCGTATTTCCAGATATTCCTGTTACGAGTAAAGGAAACGAAACCAGGATGGGAAAAGGGAAAGGTTCATTAGAATACTGGGCATGCAGAGTTCCTTTGAATAAAATTGTATTTGAAGTAGGGGGTGGAGGTATTCGAAAAGAAGTTGCTAAGGATGCATTGAGATTAGCATCAGACAAATTGCCCGTAAAAACAGAATTTGTGGAAAGCCCGAAAATCATCGTCCCTGGTAGGTAGGTACCCGTACAGTACCTGGTACATATGAATTTAAGCTCGAACCCTAGTTTCTATTATTAAAGTATTGAAACAAAATAAGAATTTTTTTACTTTATATCAGTTATACAAGGGTGTGACAAAATATTTTCACACCTAAGGACTTGGCTTATAACTTAAAAACTTACTAATTAACTTATGTTTTTGATCTTACTTCTTGATGATTATGTCATATCATTTTTAGATCACATACTTGCATAATTGGCAAGTTATTTAACTTTACTTTTAGAGTTTTGATAGATAATATAAGTGTTTGTGTTTTGTATAAATATTTTAACAACTATTAGTTTAATTTTAATAAAATTTTACTAGCTTATAGAGGAATTTTTTTTTTATCTACTATAAAATTTAATTTAATTTTAATTAATAATTAGCTAAAAAATTAATAAAAATAAAAATTTTATAGTTTAAACTTTTAAGCTTTTTCTTAATTGATAAAGATTTGTAGACAAATTTGTTTGTATAATTACTATAAATATATATGTTTTTAATTTACTTTTTTAATTATTTAATTAATAATTTATAAGTCAACCAAAGAGTAATTATAGTGAATATAATATGGATTATTTATAGAAATTAGGGTTTTGTAAATGTAGCATATGTGTATCTAAAACTTTTTTTTTATATTAAGTTAACTACTTTTTTAATTTAAAAAACTTTTGTAGAAATTTTTAAAATATACCTAATAGTAGTTAAATCATCTAAATCAGTTTAGTAGATATTAAGATATTTTTTTTTTTTTTTTTTTTTTTTTTTTTTTAAACCGATGTCATGGGTGCTAATGCTTTATTGTGTTTTTTATATGCTTATTTACAAACATTTTTTGGTACATTGATGAGCGTACAACTAGCCACACGTACAACTTTTGATTGTCTATTTAAGTAGTC